GGTTTCAATATGAAAAAAATAAAGATTATTATCTGTTGAAAATGTAACACGAAACACTTGTCTATAAAATATGAATATAGATAAAATTCTACAAAAACTTTTAAGAAAATGAATGAATATTTATGACCAATGAGGAACTTATTTTTTATTTCTCAAGTAAAAGCTACTTTTACAGGATTAAAGATTATCGGATTTTACTTATTTTCGCGTACAAAAATGACACTATTTTCTGGAATATTCGTTCTAATATTCTAACAATTAAGCCACAATTTCTCACAGCATTTTTGAATTTGGGTTTTATATCTGTATATCTATATGCAGAACAAATCCTCCATTAACTGAGGCAGCTTCTATTGGTCATGGGACAAACTGTGTGCAGTGCGTCTGCTCGCGTAACGCAATTAAAAAAGAGTAGAAATGCAACTATAGCTCCAAGGGTAATAAAGGTGGCAGGGGCTGCAGGTTGTAAGACTACGGTGGCTGAGTGAGAAATACGCCACCTAATTTACTTGAAAGACCAAAGTTAAATCGCAGATAAGGTCGCCACAATACCATCAGATTTTTCAAACTTGTTATACCCATGTCAGTGACTTAGGTCGGAGTAGCTGACATTAAAAGGGCAACTATTTTTTCGGTTGGGTCACACCACGTGATACTCATGTTGAGAACGATAAAGATCCCTTGAGAGTTGGAAAGAATACGGGATAATGCCATTGTCCTGTCAAAATTCCATCATTGTACGTTGTATGACGTTCCGATTCTGTTGCACAATCAGATGAAGATAGAATCCAGGTAGCAAAGCTCATTTCATTAAAATACAGAATAATAGGCAACAAAGCCCCCAAAAATATCAATATCTTAATCAATTCTTGGTATTTTTTTCCTAAATTATTATGGTAAATAAACCTTAAAGTTTACCCCATTCCACACAAGACACATTAAATAATTACAGAAATACGCGATACATTAGACAAAACTTCTGGAAAATGGGAATGAAACTGAATCCATCAACCTTAACACACGATATGCAGTTCCGACGTATTTTTGTCTATTATTTAATATATAGGTATTAAGGTAAGTTACTTACCTGACGTTATATCATATAAGGTCCTTTATTAACCAATAGTCCTTAGATATATTGTTGTATATAAAAGTCCTTTACTGTCTGTTCTGGTACAGGATTCCAAATCGACTGACTATAAAACTATTGAAGTCCTTTATTGGTTCTAGATGCTAATTTTCTTGTTTAATCCAAAAGAAAACATGGTTAGTCCATTTAGAAAAAAGCGGGAATCTGCGTGATGTCTATTGAGCAAATGGAAGATTTTAGCAGACGACAATTTTCCATAGTCTCGAGGATCAATGACGACTCGATTCGACTTCCGGTCTGAATTGTCGTTTGCTACAAGACTTCATCAAGACTTAATTTACAAGTGATTTTCCAGGAGTGATTTTGAACCGAATAGAGGGTATTTTACTATTTTCTTGAATGTCCTGATTGGGATAAGTCTTCAATGAAGAGGAAATTGGCTTCAATAAATATCGAAAGGTTCTTTAGAAATGGTGAGATTAGCGATCAATTTGCTTCACATGATTCCAAAATGATGAAACTTTGTGACATGAACAACCCCTTAATGAAAGAAAGCTTTCAACAAGTCGTATCTCCAGAATAACTCTTTTATAATTCCATTACCGTTTTTAACCTTTCTATAGAGTTATCAACGAGAATTTTTTTATTGAATAAACGTGATTTGATAAGATTTGTTTGAATCAACAACAATTTGTTCCAGATTAATTTGAGAATCAATGATACTTCAGGAGTGTGTTTATTTTCTATGTTGCTTACACGGTATGACGAAGGTTCTGTTATATTTCTAACAACAACGTTAGAGTGGATGTCACGAGATTCTAGCGTTTAAAGGGACAGATGCGACATTTGTGGGGGGCGGGGGGCAATTTTAGTCTTGAAATTATTTCTAATTCAGAAGTACTAGAAATGTACACAAATTGCATGATTCCTTTAAAAATACTTCGAACTAGGAATTTTACTCACTATTTTCTGTATATCACAGAGTATCTTAAAATGACGAGACGTCATTTTAGCATTCAAAAGCGGATAATTCTGGACACACATGGATTTAATGGCTCAAATTTCGCTGGTGGGCTATGAACACTATTCACTATTACTGTTTGGCTTAGCTAAAAAAAATTCCCGTTTCTGAGACTGAAGTATAGCGCATCTGTCTCTTTAATATTCAGTTTGAACAACAAACGCAATTGTTTTTTTATTTTAGATGGTTTGGAATATTTTTATTTCTGCATTTTGAGAAAATAAGGCTTAAGCCTATTTATACGATCGTACTTATTTTTATGAACTTCTTAAAGTTTTGTGAGACGATTTATATTTATCATGACCTCCTCCCTCCTATTAATTTGTGCTTCACGTCATTTCATTTCAACATCTTCCAAAATGAAAAAAAAAAACACTTATTCGTTTACATACGACAATAATTCCCCGTGTGCTACAATATGTGTAAGTTGAAGATGCCTGTATAGTTGGAGATTGAAAAAAATAACTGGGTTTAACATAGCAAGTTCTAATTTCCGTTTACACGATTGGCGATTGTAAATAAAGACTGTCATACAATGCTGCACAATATTTAGGAACAAAACATAGGATTGCGTAAATACAATATAACTTGCTAGTCTTATCTAAAGATATTTTACAGTTCCGTCTTTTTTGTGGTAATGTTTTCTGTCACAAGCCAGACCATATTGGTATAAATGATTTTTAAATTCAATAATAAATACACTAGGTCAGATAAATCATCATGAAACTCGTACCATGTCACTTCAACAAAGTTTGGCCAATAAATCTAATAAAAGGATTAAAATGACTTTTGAGTGAATTGTTCTGCACCAAAGGGAAGGTTAGAGAGGATAAAGGAGCAAATGTGTCCTTTTGGATTATAGTTCGTCGAGCGGAATATCCGGGCATGTATCTAAGTGTATACTATCAATGTCTTATTTAGGATAGCATCTTGGATTCCAAGAATACGTCTTTCCAGTGTCTCCTTTAGAGAAAAGGTCGTTACTCGAATTTGCTATTTTTCGTATTCCATTCAAGAAATATTTTGTAACAAACGAGTGAAAGGGTGGGTTACTAGGAAGATATTTAACTGTAATGGCATTATTTAAAAAAAAATAACTGTATGGCATATCGCAAGCCCATTTTATCATTTTTGGCGAAACATGTTCTGAGCTAACGCAGCAGAAGCTAAGTAAAGACAGCGTCTCGGGGCTATTAAAAGGACATTTCGCTTTTTTGTAAAATGTTTTAATAATCAAAAGCGATGTAAATTATACCTGAAATTATTTCTAAAATATGCTAATTATATCTATGAATCTTCTTGATCAAACTGAATTTGTTCTAAAATTTGAACCAAAAAATTTTGACCTACAATAAAATGGAATATCCCTTTAAGGACTGAGTGAAGGTCGAGTCATGCATATATATTAGATTTAGTACCGTGTCTGAATCCAAACATAAACACGACCAGTATATCCCTTTAAGGACTGAGTGAAGGTCGAGTCATGCATATATATTATATTAAGTACCGTGTCTGAATCCAAACATAAACACGACCAGTCTGGTATTTTCACTTAAAAACTTTAAATCTTTAGTAAAAACAACTGAACTAAAGAAATATTTACATATTGAATGATTAAATTATGTAAATTCAATACATGGTGGCAAAATTTATTTTACAATAAACACAAGTCGGGGATATAATAAAACTGAAAAATGCTTTAGCTAACGTTGAGTTATGCATTTTGGGTTCTCTTACAGGGACAGCTGTGCCATTGTTTTTGACCAATCATACTTTAGACACAGAAACAGGATTTTTTTTTACCTAAGCCAATCAGTAATAGTGTTCACAGCTCACTGTCGAAATTTGAGCCTTCAAATCCATGTGTCCAGAATTAACCGCATTTGAATGATAAATTGACAACTCGTCAATTTAAGATACTCTGTGATATATAGAAAAGACATGTATAGAAATAGTGAGCAAAATTCCTAGTTTGAAGTATTTTTAAAGGAATTATGCGATTTTCGTAGATTTCTGGTACTACTGAGAATTATTTTCATGTATTCAAAACTAAAATCAACCCCCAATATGCCGCTTCTGTCCCTAATACAGATTCCTGTCTGACAAAGGATAAAATTGTGTATGGATTCGCTTAGCGTGTAGATCACTGGGCTACCGCGGCTCCACAGAATTGAGTCAGCAGGAAAAATTACATGTACTTTATCACTATAGTCTAGGGTGTGGATTGTTTTCGATACATAATTATTTTTACTTCTTTTCTGGATTGTCACGTGTTTCTTAACGGTTCTTGATTTCCCTTTAAGGTAATAAAATAATATAAGTGTAAACAAACAATTTTGGATTAGGCTCGTGAACATAGTCCTGTATGGTTTTAGAAAATATTTTGTGTAAATAATAAACATTATTTTTTAGGAGTAGACTAGTAGCCACAGTTACAAGATGAATTGTGCAGCTCCATATTCAAGTAAGAATTTATAATATTCATTTATAGTGGTTTTTTAACATAAAACTCAGAGGAGCGAAGGTCACATATTTACATTGAACTGTCTATTCATCGCATTCTATTTTATGCACCACTCTTAAGTTCAAATTTATATGTGATCTTTTCGTTAAAAATTTAAAGCAGAGAGATTGACGACCGAATAAATGAGCAGCCTTTTCAGGCATTAATGTGCAACCAAGTTGCTGGCATCCGGTCAATTTTCAAATTATGAGACTTTCGCCCATGCTCGCCGTGAACACCCCAATACCGCTTGTCGACATGAACTTACAAAAAATACTTGTTTTATGCCGTCACCGATGCCAAATATTTTTATTTAAAATCAAAGCTGCCAGTGGGCGTATATTATCTTGCCTGGCAAGTTGTTTTCAATTTTTGGATAACTCGATATGAGTGATTTCATTCGTTATCATACAGGTTTGTCCCCTTGTCATTTCATATTTTTTAGTTTTGTTCCTATACACGCTAGGGCAACTAATATAATCTATTTTTTGTAAATATTGTAGGTGTACATAGATATCTAACATTTTTCTGTATAATATTGGTGGTGTCAATTGTTTTGTATTTGGTACCACATTCTTCACCGTGTGGCTGTACTATATGCAAACCAATTATTTTATCGTAAGTTCGGCAAAATCATTTTATACTTTTTATTACGTAATTTTAAGGGCATTCTTATTTTGCATTCATTATTAATTGATGTCAACTATACTCGAAAAGTTGTCAAAAATGTGTTTTCTCTACTGCTATGTATCTACTTGATCAACCTGAATTTGTATTTGAAAAGGGCTAATAAAAAACGGAGTGTTATAATTGTTAAGTAAGCTGTTTGATCTAGTTTTGGGGTTTGGCCTAATTAGGGCACGATATTTTCAGTTGGAAGCTGATGAATAAGTAGGAGACACATTTCTCTACAATTTGGCGTTTATTTTTCTGAAATTCGTGCATTAGTTTTTCTATACAAACCAAAACACATAGCGACGTTAAACTGTTTACGTAAACTTTGAAAGTTGTTTTGGAACTAAAAATTGCTTACTTTAAAGTTAAAAATTGAGAAAAACAAACAGGATGCCACTGTAATTGCGTATAAATAATTTTAAACAAACAAATTATAGAAGCTGAAATATTGATATAAAAAAAAAAAAAATAAGAACAAAAACTTTCATTATTCGATGTAGAGGGTATAAGACAAAAAAACTTTTTCGAAATGAAAAATTTTGTCATACGAAAATTGTGTCGTCTTATTCTCGCACAGTTAGTTTATTTGCAAGTAGCTTTTCTTATGGCGAGAAATACAATACGCACGTCATAATGTCGAATTTAGTTATGCGTCTGTATCTCCATAATCTTATTCCGAATATAGCAAGTTGCATGCGACATCTTCTTTATTTTTCTTTTCTAGATCGTCAAATCACAGACCAAAACCCGATGAGGTTCAAATGGCCAAGACTGAAAAACAACTTGTTTACAGATCATTTAAGCCCAAATATTGCTCAATGAAAAAGTCTAAACCACACTGTGTTGGTCCAAATTCTATCTATCATCTTGGTGTTAATCAATCTATCGATATAGTAACGGCCTGTTTTCCCACTGAGGTTACCTTAACTGACATTCCTTTGCAGGACAAAAATTTTCCACCTGCTAATAAAGTGTTACCTATTGAAACGGAGACAATGAACGATGCAGATTTTTTCGATATGTCTCAAACCACAAGTGTAGAGGATACTAAGTTCCATTTTGAAAATCCCAACAAGTCTCTCAATGTTGGTGATGTTGTAAAAGTACGAATGGATTTGATTGATAAAGCAGGAAGACCACGGACAGTAGGTGGTGATGACGTCAGAGTGTTGATTCAGTCACAAAATTTGGAATATAAAGCTTGTGCTGACGTTGTTGATTTAAAAAATGGAAGCTACTTGGTAACATTCATTATGTTATGGGAAGGAAATAGCTCTATATCTATAAGTGTACCTTATACAAGGGAGATAATAGCTACCATGTTGAAATGGCGACGCCAATATAAAACTGTGTTTTATTATTATGGATACTTCAAATTGGGCAATTTACAAGAATACACCGTTTGTTCTCCATTTTCTACTATTCCTGGATATACGAGACTGTGTGACCTGGCGTTAGTGAATGATGGATTACCATGGTTTTGTGGACAGCCATTGAACACTGCTCTGAATTGTGATAATTTAGTTTCCATTCATGACTTAGATTTTTCTGAAATACCAGTGAATAATGCTTTGTATTCTACTTTTGCTAGGTAAGGCATTTACTATTATACTGTTAAGAATAAAAACATCATGGATTTTCCAAGTATCGTCACCAGTGAAAGAGGCCCTATTGTTGCATTTTATTTTCGATCTGCACCTTAGAGATTTGCAAAAGATTTTTTCAACCTTTCAACCAGACGTGTGGCTATTGTAATAACAAAATTAACCATTGCAATTATTATTATAGAGCCTAATTAGCTCTTGTATTTGTATCGATAGATGGCAGATTTCCCATCCATGTTGTTCCTGTAATTGCAAAAATGATAGCTCAATTGCTTATCTATTTCAGGAAAAATATGAATATGAAGATAACTTCAAAAATTCAATTGCACGCCGTCAGAGGTAATGTATAGACATGAAATTTCTCATATTCAAGATCGCAATCGACATTTTCACGTATTTTCCTGTAGAACAACCACTTGATCCCTTACCCGCAGGTCTCGGTACATCTCTATACTCGAGCGTAGTTTTTTCTAGGTAACGAACTCAATTGACACAAGCAATGTCTACATAGAATAGTCTGGAAGGTGCCTCTGTTCTGGAAAGATTTAAAAAAAAACTCTTCTGTCAGTCATTTCCTTGCGGAAGCTTCTTAATTCCGCAATACATGTGAAATAAAATGTTGGAAAACAAGACGATTCTTGGTTACATGGCGACAAAATAGACCAATCGAATCAAATTCTATATCAATCAATAGATACATCAAAATGTATGTAATTGGGTTGGACTTTCTGCATGTCGTTGACGAACCTATCACAAAGCAATATTTTGTGTTGCTGATTCTACTGTATCCAGAAGCCACTTTGGTATGTGATATTGAAGGTGTGCAATCAATTCGTGGCATCTTGAGGCACCATGGAGAAGCTAACATTTTTAGCAAGTGATTCAGGCAACTGCACAACAAATCATTGTATATGGTTTTAACCTCTGTCCACTGTTAACCTCTAGTTGGATTACCCAGTCAAACCGGAAGATGGTGTGAAAATGGCATACAGCTTTTTCATTTATTTCACAGAAATCAAGTTAATAATGGCTTAGTGTTATTAAGAATTAGTGGTAAAGATATCCTAGCTATCGTTCAATATGACGTTATGTTACTTCTTTTTCAGCTAGAAACTCAATTAAGAAAAAGAACTGCAATCAAATGCAACCTAAAGAAACATGGGACACAAAAATGCCATCAGGATTCGCCCTTAAAGGCCAATGGATAAATTTTAAGTGTAATAATTTCGTCAACCTTAAAACAGCTCCGTTGTGTTTAAGAAATACTACTTTAGTTTTATATGGGGACTCCACCACACGTCAGTGGTACTCGTATATTGTGACACAGCTTACAAAGTGCAAATTAGTGACTCAAAAATGGTCTGGAAGAAAATGGTATGATAACTCGGAATGTGTTGATACAAAATTGGATTTTACTATAAAATGGCTACCGCAAATACTGCCGTTTTCAAAAGGGTCAAGAGTTCCGGGAGGCAAATTGAACCTGAGATCGGTCAGTACACATCTTGATCAATTACCGGCTAATGGTAGGATTATCTTTGTGTTTCATTTGTATGCCCATATCACGAGACAGCATTATTCACTATATTGGGACCACGTCATCTCGTTAAAATCTTCAGTTAGAAATGCTCTCAAGAGAAATAAGGAATTGACAATAGCTATCAAGTCTCCCTATGTGTTTTATTCATCGGACTGTATGTCCACATTAAATGATTATCATGGAAAGTTATTTATAGAAATTCTCCACAAGGAATTTGCCGAATTCAAGGACTCTGTGATATTTTTAAATTATTGGGAGATGACTCAAGCTGTGGAAAATTATGGCATTCACCCACCACAATCTACAGTATGGGAACATATTCGTCATTTGCTTGGGTTGGTTTGCAAATAAAGTACAACCTTCTTTAGTTTATAATTATTGTATTGGTTGACCACGTGTATAAGGAAAGTAGTACACATGACACAGGAAGAAGAGAAGCTGAAAGTGATCATGATATAATCCATGAAAGGCATTTAGAAGTACCACAGCACATTAAGAAACAACAGTTTTATAGATATAAACTTATCATTTAAACAAACGTTTCATTACACTTGACTTGAGAACATTTACTGTATTTGTAATGAAACAAAAATCAAATAATAAATAGAAATTTGTATCTATAAAACTGTTCTGTCTGATATATGCTCAAGTAAAAGCCGATTAAAGGTGTTCTAGACCAATAATGTATTTAGCGACATAATATACCAAATTAGATTCTGGAAAGCCTTAAAAGATGATCTTTCATAAAACCCTCATTTAATCTTATGATTAAAACCTGACACGAAAACTAACAATCCTTTGTTGGCCCTTATCGTCGTGGTCTGCACTTAGGAACACTACTGAAAAGGAAAAAGAAAATGTCAGCGGCAAATATTAGTAATGATTATAAAATCAGGATATAATCGAAAATTCTGATCTCTATCGAGTCCACAAATCAAAGACTGTAAATATATTTGTTAAATGGAGACGTGATTCGCAAGCATCTCACTTCTTATAAAAATAAAGCTACATTAAATTTGATAAAACAAAAATCTGTTAAAACTGTCGCTTTCACAAGCCATTTTTAGCATATTTACAGTATAGCAAGGGCTGTAACCCTCTACATCTTTATCTAATATACTCCGACTCGAACTCATTCGAGATCTTGCGAATACAAAGCTACACACTAGATTTGATACAATATTGACGAAAACAGTGGCCTCCATCTCAAGTCACCCTTATCACATCAAAGGCAGTAACTAAAAACATATTTGTTGATTGATCCCCAAATTCTAACTTGTCTCAGGTCTGAATATAATCGCACAATTTTATGAAGATCAAACTCAATCGTTTTGCCAAACCAATCAGGGGTAACGGCAATACACGTTCAGATTACAATGGGACGAATACAAAAAAATATATTTTTTTTATATTTAAGTTGACAGCAGTAGAATAAGTTTCAGGTGATCAATATTTTGATTGAGTTAATTGTAATGTTATGGTAAAGATTCGAGCGAACATATTTTTGTAATAATACGAGGATAAAAAGGGTGGAAAAATTAGGTTCAAGGCCTCTATACAATTTTGCACTGTGAAACAAGATAACATGAAATTAATACATATCAATTAATACGATTACATATTTCTTTTAAGATTCATTCCAAAACTTACTCTAAAGCTGCAACTGTTTGTTTAGCTACTTTACGAATCTTGGCTGCCTCTTGTAGTGTGGGAAATACTGAAAACCTGTATAAAATACATTTCATTCAAAGATAAATGACATTTGTTCCGTACTTCGTCGTCATCATCGTTACGTTGTTTGGATAGGAAAGAGAATCGGTTTCAAAGCTTTCGGGTTTTATAATTGCGATATTCTGCTATGGGGGCACATGCTCGTTTGAACGATTACTTGTAGATGAAGTAGATAAGTTTCTCCTGAAACGTGATGCACGTCACGTTACAAGAAATTCAGTACATTTTAGATAAATATTGATACAATCTTTTTAACTTACCAATCTCTTTCGTTGTAATAAAACTGTGGTTTTATTTCGGTATGTGGTGTTTCAGTATTTATTAAATATTGCAGTGTTTGATCGAAACCTTCCTTCATGTTAAACTTTGTTTTCTCACCAAGGAATTTTTCATGAACATGTAGACATACCACTTCACAACAGTAGGATCTTATTGGTAGATTGTTGCTCTAGATTAAATATATTTAGTATATTAGGTTACGACCACTTTCATAAACCATGTACAATTGATCGATAAATAAATACACGTACATGTATAGAAAAGTACATAAAATATTACATTACATTAAATACGGTATAAATATAACACAATCAATATTACGTTCACTTTGACTTAAAAGAGGATTTTTCAGATTGCTTATAGGGAACCCTTTCAAACATGACTACATAGGCGTACTTTTGGGGGGGGGGGGCGACAGTCTGGTTTGCCAGAAAATTTTTAAGGTTTGAGACCATCACCCGAGAACACTACTTGTCTGTCCGGATGTTTTTTCGGTCGCTGCCGATAATATTGTGTCCTATGCATAACTATCTCAAATATTATTTTTCTTTTAATAGCATAAACCTTTCACCTTTACAGATGGTCATTGCGTGTTTATAGTGCTATATATTTTAAGATAGGGATTTGGGACTATTTGTATACACATGGCTTATTCAAACTCGCATAAAGTAAGAAATACCTACAGTTTTCCAATATTTCACCAGTCTGATCAAGTCTTTTACTTTTGATGGTTTACGTCTTGTTGCTAATTGTTCCTTACAGAAGCATACAGAATAGTGCTGTCGAACTGATCGGGGTATACGACCCATCTCCTTATGTACGTTGTCGACTGTCCCACCTAGTAAAATTTAAATTAAAAAAAAATATGAAAAGCTTTTGTTGAAATGTGATTACTGCATTTGTAAAAGTTTGAAATAATTTCTATCTTTTTTTAATAATTAATAAGATCTTTTTTCGTTTTCGTTTCTGTTAAGTTTTCGTTTCGGCGTAAGTGGTAAAAAAAACTTTAAAGGTGGTATTTTAACCCAAGGCACCGAATCCATTAAGTATACCCCTTTCGCACGGCACAACTGGATGATTGAATTCGGTTATAACCGAAAATAAGATTCAGTTTGGTTCGATTCGGTTCTATTTGCTTTCGCACTGCTATCCTATCTGTATGTCTGCTTTGGTACTGCAGAAAAAAAATGATGATGATGGAATTGAACTACAATGTTCATCATTATAAAATAGCACATAATAACCATATAATTTTCTGTTTCCTCTTCCGATGCATATTCATGTACTTTATTAATCTTTTTCTTTTGCTTTTCAAGTATTTCTATTAGATTGTCCCCGCCAACAGGAGACGTCATTTTGATATTCTTATCCGAATAACTTCTTGTTTTGTTTCGCACTGCAACTATCTAGATCGTATCCAGACTAAATTCACCTCTTGAGGTAAGTTTTTCTTTCTGGATAACTTCTAGTTATAATCGAACAAGCTGATTTGCCAGTGCGAAGGCAATTGGAAGTTTTTCGATATTAAATGACAGAACTGAACTTCTTTTTAAAAAAATAAACATACGTTGTGCTACGACATCTAATGCTGGCAATATATCCACTTCCACGAATCTGTTTGTTTCTGTATGCTGAAATCTAAACTGGCCTAAATATTCGTTTTCTCGAATCTTTTCACATTTACTGAACACAGATTGATCAAATCTATTCATGTAAGTCGCAATATCAGATATGATTTTTGGTTTGGCAGCGATTAATTCCTCCATAGTTTGGTAGCCATTAAAAAATATCACCAAATCAGCATCTGCGGTATCACCAACCGTTGTTCCTTTACCAAGTGATCCAGACTAAAATATCAAATTCGAATTGGCAAATTTTAAACATAAAGAAAGAAGAAAAATTGAAAGTGATAAACCAATACACTCTTCTTAATATTTGCTTTCAAAGATAAACGAGGTCAATTGCGTTTGATTCGATTGCAATTCAACAAATCCTTGCTGCTAATGCAATAATAAGACGACTTTATTCTCTAAAGATTCTCTAAGTAGCTAGAATTGCGCTTAGAAATGGCATGTCTTACAACATATTTAAGATTTCACAATGAAGAAAACAATATCTATACTTTTACAAACGCTTAATTTAATAGAATTTCCAATGTGATTGACCCGAATGATACATTATGTTAGTTGCATATGGATGGATTTTACCTTTACAACCTCCTTGATGCTATAATCAGGCATATGGTGCAGTTGGCGAACAATACTATCAACAGCTTTTTTCATTGTTCCCCTGTAAATCCTTGGTGAACGCAAATCACGATGCATAAAGGAACCCAAAGTATCATCAGAATGATATCCAGGTAAAAAAGTCTCCATTATTTATATCTGTGGAATAGAAAAGAATATTGTTAGATTTTCAATGCTCGACAAATATTGAGAGACATAGACATAAGAGATCATGAACCGATACAATTCTTTATCAATAATAAAATATTAGTCCAGAGTCCAAATGCTGTATTGAAGTTGAGCTACACTAAAATAAAAACTGCTACAGATTTCACTGGCGAGGCCGGGCATGCTGATCTAGGTCTGGGTCTGTTATCGCGGCATTCCTTCCGGAGAGTCGAAATAGCTCATGTTTATGTAGGAAAGTTAATGTAACAAGCACACATTCTATAGAATACTAAAAATTAGTAAAATAAATCCTTTCAATAATCAATTATGACTATGCCTCTCTAACATTGAGTCCGTAGAAATATCGACTTTCCTACTTAATAACCTAGGTCAAATGTCATTACATGAAAAACTGAGGGCGTTGTATTCTAGAATAATATGCAGGTCTACTTTCACTTCACTTCACAAAGAAACATTTTAGGACGAATAGTTATGGTATTCAACGGGCGGTATTCGATGGGCGGGGACAAAGTCTGACTTCAATAATATATACCAATAAGCCTTGACCATTTATATCTTGAATATATGTTAATATCCATTATAGACCCCAATATTTTGTCTTGGTTTGGCATAACGTGCTATTTTTCAATGCTGGCGTAATTATTATGTTTTAGCGACATCAATTTAATAATGGCATATATTCGCCCAAGGGAAATGTTAAAGAAATAATTTTCTGAGATTAAAAATAGCCTACCATTAAACAACAACAACTTAAAACTCTTAAATCTTGATAAATTGGGAAAAACCTAGATTTATTAACGAAATAAAAAACTTCATTGCAATTATTACAATTCCCATTATTTATGTTCAAAACCTTGTAATATTGTCTATCCGTTTGGGCTCATTCTCACTTGGGCTAATTCTCATTTGAGCTAATATTTTTGAATTAAACCGAAAACAGGGTCATCCAATGTGATTTTGAGACACCGGAAGTTCCCACGCACAAACCGGAAATGATTTTTATAGTTTTGTTTTGACATTCTGTCTATACACTGTAAATTTCAGATCGATCCAATAATTCATGACCGATTCGAAAATTTTGAAATTTTTCATGCAAATTTTTTTTCTTTAAAAAATATAAATTTTGAATATTTTTCGGGACACAATAGATACGTCTTGATACATAGAACATAATAAAGTCCGGAGTAAATCGGTCCAGAAATAAGATGATTTATTTTACATGTTATGTAATACGTCACTTCCGGTTGCGCAAAAATATAATTGTCCTTGAAGTTAAAATAAACAATCACAACAGAAAGCTATATCATTTTCGTTCTTTTAGCAAAGTACACAAAAAAGTTCTTAAAATAGATGCACATTAGAATTGTTGATATAATATGAGAACTTCTTTGGATTTCATTACAAACGCTGCCCTATTCTTCCCTTCTTCATATATCTCCCCGTTACCTCTCTTCGCCCACTCCATCATCATTTAAGAAATCTATATTTTAAATTCACATCAGTCGCTACATTTTTATATTATGCAGATCGCTTAAACGAATAATATAATTAGAAGTCAATTGTCTGTTTGAATTTAGCATTTCATAAGCCGCGAATTTGATCGAAATATCAAATATTGTACATCATTGGAAAGAGGACATCATGCATGGTACAAATGAATATTATAATATTTTGCACTATGTACATGACGGGACTGTTTAAAAATAAAAATTGTCAATTTTCAAATAGATATAACTCAGGGAGTAAACATCGTACAACAAAAATGAAGATATAATGAGATAGATCTTGCAGCAGGCTATTACTTTTATTCGGGTCATAAGGTCACCAAACGCAAATGGCAAGGTCACAAGATTCAAGCCATGAATGTTTGGTAATCATCAATAATCGAAATTAAAAAATCAAATAACTACAACTTACTTGCCATAGATTGTACTTGCCATTGACACCAAAAGCAATCTGATAATCCGTTAAAGGCTCAGAAGTGCTTTTTTGACCAATGGTACCTTAGTCTCAGAAACGGGAATTATTTTAGCTAAGTCAATTGGTAATAGTGTTCAAAGCTTACCCTCAAAATTTGAGCCTTCAAAGCCATGTGTGCCCGCGTATGTAAATTATTTCACGTGACAGAACTGTTTAAAATTATAAATCGAAAAGGTGACTATGTGACTTGTGCAGTATTACCTGGGTGATCTAACCAAATTTCTAAAACATTGCAATAAATAAATAACATGACATCAAAAAAGGCGTCAAATCGATTTTTCACGCGATAATAGCTGTAAATACTTCAAATGGAATTCCCTATTAATATTTGGAAATAACCCAGTATTTATGCCAAGTTTATTCTAGAATGTTCGAAAACCACTTATTGTGAGTTATTAAATAATTATTGATTGATCTGTCAATAATTACAATTTAGTGAATATAATTTATATTGTCGAAAACGAAATGCAATGCAATTACATATACCTGTAAATACTTCAAATGGAATTCCCCATTAATATTTGGAAATAACCCAGTGCTTACGCTAAGTTCATTCTAGAATGTCTGAAAATAACGTGACCTATAAAATAGTTATTAATTGATCAGTCACTGATGCAGTGAATACAATGTATTTTGAGAAAACAAATTGTATAATTATCGAATTACGTTTGTAAAGAGATTGTAAAATATTTCAATATTGCAACCCATCGAATGAAATAATTATTCAAGTGTAGTTAATTTAACGGAATTTAATAAACTTTCACGACCAATAACCTAGCTTTATTGTTTGAAATCTACTCACTATCAATAATCTACTAATTTAGATGTTTTAAGTGATGAGTTGTGTTTATAAACAGTTCACTCTACTGAGTAGTGTTTGAAATCTACTTACTATCAATAATCTACTAATTAGAATGTTTTAAGTGATGAGTTGTGTTTAAAAACAGTTCACCCTACTGAGTAGTGTTTGAAATCTACTCACTATCAATAATCTACTAATTTAGATGTTTTAAGTGATGAGTTGTGTTTAAAAACAGTTCACCCTACTGAGTAGTGTTTAAATCCACTTACTATTAATAATCTACTAATTTAAGTGTTTTAAGTGATGAGTTGTGTTTAGAAACAGTTCACCCTACTGAGTAGTGTTTGAAATCTACTCACTATTAATAATCTACTAATTTAGATGTTTTAAGTGATGAGTTGTGTTTAAAAACAGTTCACCCTACTGAGTAGTGTTTGAAATCTACTCACTATCAATAATTTACTAATTTAAGTGTTTTAATTGATGAGTTGTGTTTAAAAACAGTTTATCCTACTGAGTAGTGTTTGAAATCTACTCACTATCAATAATCTACTAATTTAAGTGTTTTAAGTGATGAGTTTTGTTTATAAACGGTTCACCCTACTGAGTAGTGTTTGAAATCTACTCACTATCAATAATCTACTAATTAGAATGTTTTAGGTGATGAGTTGTGTTTAAAAACAGTTCATCTTACTAAGTAATGTTTGAAATCTACTCACTATCAATAATCTACTAATTTAGACGTTTTAAGTGATGATCTGTGTTTAAAAACAGTTCACCGTGTTCAGTGATCATACCTGGTGACATAAATGTACAAAACAAATCCCTCTATAATTCAATAAAACTAAGTATTAAGTAATTTTGAAACATACTTCGAAGCGTGTTTCAATAATTATTTAGTTTAATGGATATATCGTCTGATATAGAGATTCCATTCTTTAGTTACGGCACCTGATAAGCGCAACTGATGAATATATACACTTGTATATCAAGTTTGAGACATTAAATTTTTTTTCCATTCTAAAAGGGGATATCCTTGGTACAAGTGCTGAAAGTCTTAAAAGTTTCATCGTGTTTTATTGAAATGTCCAACAAAGAAATTTATCGATAATATCTACGTTATAAGTCTGTCTTAAGTGAAACAAATAAATTTATGCACTTGGTACGATTCAAAGTATAAACACAAACACAATATTAAGATTTAAGATTATGCTTTCTACATAAAAATATTTTGCTATCATATCAAAATCAGATTCAGATGTGCATATTGTTTGACTAAGATAAAGGAAAATACACAATGGAAACGTTTTATTGGAATATTTGTAAAGTGATAGAGAAAATTCATTATTCACAGTGGTAATTACTACTTCTAAACTACATGTGGTTTTAGAGAAATAATCACATTTCATTTTCTACTTTTATAGCTACTTTATGTCGTAGATCAATAAGTAAGAAAGTATGATAATTTTATCTTCTTATCCTAAAGCTGCAACTGTTTGTTTAGCTACTTGACGAATCCTGGCTGCCTCTTGTAGTGTGGGAAATACTGAAAACCTGAAAAAAAAATTTCATTTGAAAATAAGTGACATTTATTTCCGTACAGATTGATCAATATCATCTATGTTTGAAGGCTCTTTTGGTCTCATCATTCCTTGAAAGAACTTTAGATACTATTTTAGCATTTCCGATAAACGATAGAGCGCTCCATTGTATAATGAAGCAATTACTTTTACTTACCAGTCTCTTGTGTTGTAATAATACATAGGGTCAATTACAGTATGTAGTGTTTGAGTTTCTATCAAAAATCTCAGCACTCGATTGAAACCTTCTTTCATGTTAAAGTTTGTTTGCTGACCAAGGAATTTATCATGAACATACAAACATACCACTTCACAACAGTAAGATCTTATTGGCAGGCTATTACTCTAGATTAAATAATTAAAAGTTATGCTAGTTTCGACCACCTGTACACAAACTTGCGTGATACACAATGGCAATGGAGAATCAACTTTAAAATGAAAATATCTATCTATGCATGCAGCATCATCGTCTCCCAAGCTGTATACATTTCGATCAATAAACGACAAAATTAGATTTTGGACCAGCTTTTCCCATTGAAAATGCGACGTTGACCAATATACAATGTAATATTGATAAGCAGTATCCGCTAGTGATATTAATAGGTTTTGCATCAAACTGCACGAGACATAAAAATTGCCAGATAGGGTAAAATCAGTCTTTTTTAAAATAAGTAATACTTACATTTTTCCAATATTTCATCAGTCTGATCAAGTCTTTAACCTTTGCTGGTTTGGCTCTGATTAATCTTAATTGTTCTTTACAGAAGCATACAGAATAGTGACCTCTAACTATTTGAGGTTTATATCTCATCTCTTCTATGACACCTTCGACAGAACCGCCTGGTAAAATTTTAAAACAAGAAGCCACTATTAGAAGTTTCATATGAATAGAGGGAAAAGACATCCCGAAACATACGTCAATAAAATATTTGCTTTACATTCTATGTATAACCCATTATTTCTTTGAACTCTTGTGATTTCTACATTGCTAAATGTATCAATAATTTCTAAAAAAATGCACAAATATATTTATAAATTTTGTTAACATTGTTTAAAAATCCTTGTTTTCGCTAATTTCGAAACAAGGAGGAATCAGCGTTGTATATCCGATTTTCAAACTTTTTCACCAAAATATTAAGTTTTAACAAACATGGAATGTAAAAACCTACGTAGTGCGACGACATCTAAAGCAGGCAAAATATCTACTTCCACGAAGGTGTTCGTTGCTATATGCTTTAATTTATACTGGCCTAAGTATCCGTTTTCTCGTAACTTAATACAGGCACTAAACACAGATCGATCAAATCTATTCATGTAAGTCGAAATATCAGATATGATTTTTGGCTTGGCAGCGATTAATTCTTCCATAGTTTGATAGCCATTAAAAAATATCACCAAATCAGCATCTGCATTATTACCAACCGTTGTTCCTTTACCAAGTGATCCAGACTAAAATATTAAATTGAAAAAAAAAAACAAATTTTTCAGTAATTTAATTTGTACTAAAAGAAAGCTTGCCAGGCAATATACGCCCACTGTGATACAATATTTGGTAGAACAGTAACAATGACCTGTATGAAATATTCAACATTTACTATTACAATTTTTCTTGACATGTTTTTGACATGTATTTTCTTTAAGTGATAATGAATAATTGTCCAAACCAAGAATAACGCCGTTTGCTGTTTACAAACGTTTTTCGATAACAAGGACAGTAACTCATCAAATATTTGTTTTTAATGTATTGTCAGAATAATTCTATATATTATGCGTTTGCTAGCAAGTATTTTTACGTGCTTTTTAATATTTATATTCCATAATATAGGTTGATCCTTAGGTGATAGTAAACAATTTCAGCAAGTCAAAATCTGACAAGAATCTTCAGGAAAATATTACACCCTCCAGGTTCATAGATTCTCATGTCTCATCACAATTCGTGAATCGTTTAGTAATATGAGAAGGGAGAATACCTTAACGACCTCCTTGATACTATAATTAGGCATATGTTGCAGATGACGAACAATGCTTTCAACGGCTTGACTCATTCTTTCTCTGTATGCCTCTGGTGCACGCAACTGACGATCTATAAAAGATTCCAAAGTTTCACCAACGCGGATTCCAGGTACACCAGTCGCCATTATTTATATCTGAAAAAGTATTGTTGAGTTTTTAACAGCGGCAATAAATATTGAAAATAATAGCCTGGGAAATTATGAAGTGGTCTAATCCTTGCCAAATGCCCATAACATGACATTAAAAGTGAAATAAATCACTGTATAATAGGCTTGAATTCAGGAGTCCAAAATCTTTATTGAATTTAAGCTGTACTAAAATAAATTCAATGTCAGGTGTGCTTACACTTCAAAAACATCTGATGTCAATCTAAGACTACTTTAATACTCGTGAGAGTCCACATATCAAATTATGTTCGTGTTGCATATTTATAATATTCATTTTGTATAATTATAATGTTCATGTTGTATAATTGTAATGTTCATGTTGTATAATTGTAATGTTCATGTTGTATATTTATAATGTCCATGTTATATATTTATAATGTCCATGTTATATATTTATAATGTCTATGTTATATATTTATAAAGTTCATGTTGTATATATATAATGTCCATGTTGTATATCTATAATGTCCATGTTGTATATCTATAATGTCCATGTTGTATATCTATAATGTCCATGTTGTATATGTATAGCAAAGATATGTAAACATTTAGTACAAATTTACTTACCTTCTTGTTCAACTGACATACAATAATTGATATGAAAACACGCGGACGTGACATTCTTGACGAAACTATCGTCTTCGGGGAAAATGAAGGTCTACTTTTACTTTCACTTTTAAGATGAAGCAATCGAGAAGGTATTACAGGTGTTTATCTATTATTAGCCAAATTTATATCCTGACGCAAATGAAATGAGACTTTAGGCAAATAATGCAAAAAGAATCAGCATTTTTATTATGATAGAGATAAAAAAATAAATACGTGAGAGAATGGTACAAAATAAGCTCGATCACAGCGGGATAATCATGGCTAACGCCAGGCGTTTTTTCAGAGAAGTGTTGACCCCAAAATCGAGAAATCCTCCAAAAAATGTTCGACTTATTGTGGAATCGAAATCCAGATCCTCAGGTGAGTCATTACGTCTATAATTGATATACGAAATATTATGAAATTAAAATGTCTTACCTTCTAGTGTACAACATGAAAAGAGTGACTGACTGATGATAATGTTATCTTAATATATATCTTTGAAAACGAAAGTAGATTATTCACGATAAAATACGTAGATATTTTACTATTGACAATCTATAAATACTTTATTTGGAATTTCTCTTCCCACGAATTCTTGGAAATTGATTCATCGCGAGAGATTATGATCCCTTTAAATACTTTAATTGGAATTCCCTATAAATTACCTCACAAAGTCGCAGAAATGTTTCCGTCACGCTTAAGCAATGTCTTTTCAGTCAAGATCGAAAAAAAAAAATACAAATTCATTGAAATGTGTACTCAGTACCCACGCAATGTAGATACCCAAAAGTTGAAAAATAACTTCTCTTGATCTATGAAATAACTATTTATAACTGAATCAGTGTGATTCAAACTACAAGCGACGGCTTTGAAATTTAAGCGCTTAATCCTACTTAGTAATGCTATGACTGTCCACTATGCCTATAGGTTGCAGAGAATCGGATGAAGCAAAAGAGATTTAAAAACATGTTGAGCGACGGTTATCCATACAGTGGCAGTCCTATCACGTCCTAGCACGTCCTACTATAATGCTCCACTCAAGATAGGGGTTGTGGAGAATGGCTACAATATGTGTGTAATTTAGTCGAGACAGCAGGAGGGCCGATTTTTAACAATATTCTAAACGGGCAAGGACTGGAGCACATGGCTTTAAGGCAATTTGGTGGGTATAAAACTGCGAATTCCGAACTCTCCGAATTGTTCGAATGGGGTCAGACAAACCTTACAAAACTTTTGTCAAAGGCTGTGCACAAATTAGAGAATGACAACGAATTCAATACAATTTTTCTTTTACCTACGGTAATTTTAGTAAGCTGAATTTAATTGATTTATTAATTAGTATCTTATCATCATCAACATTGAATATCGCCATCGATATCCAAATCTTATATGATTGACAGAGTCCACATTCCCAAATTTGTGCACAGCCTTTAGCGCAAATTCAGCTCGGAAAAAACCCTTAAATAACACTTTTAATGCTTGAGTACATATTGCTTGTCACCTCAGTCTTTGAGATGGATTAGTCGGAATTAGTCTAGATAAAAGGCCGTTTAAGATAGATATTTTAAGAAAAAAAAAAATTAAATAAAATTAAACTTTCATGAAACGAAATTGTATCTATAAGTCTATGTTCAATATTCAATACCATTTAAACCCATGCTGACAAATTTATAACAATAATATTAATAAGGAGTGAGGAAGCTCAGATAAACTCCTATGGGAAGCACTGACCGAGGCCACAAATAATGTTATACACATTTGCTAGGCAAAAGAATACTATTATAACATATTATTATATAGTAAGTGATAGACACTTATATTTGTAATTCAAGGCACTTCCATATTTTATGATTTGTTTGTTTCAAAAGTGCTACTTTAAATGCTGAGTCATGTTTAAAAACAGTTTAATCTAATGAGTATTGTTTGCAATCTACTCACTATCAATAATCTACTAATTTAAGTGATTTATGTGATGAACTATGTTTAAAAACAGTTCACCCTACTGAGTAGTGTTTGCAATCTACTCACCATCAATAATCTACTAATTTAAGTGATTTATGTGATGAACTATGTTTAAAAACAGTTCACCCTACTGAGTAGTGTTTGCAATCTACTCACCATCAATAATCTACTAATTTAAGTGATTTATGTGATGAACTATGTTTAAAAACAGTTCACCCTACTGAGTAGTGTTTGAAATCTACTAACTATCAATAATCTACTCATTTAAGCATTTTAAGTGATGAGTTGTGTTTAAAAACAGTTCACCCTACTGAGTAGTATTTGAAATCTACTCACTATTAATAATTTACTAATTTAAGTGATTTATGTGATGAACTATGTTTAAAAACAGTTCACCCTACTGAGTAGTGTTTGCAATCTACTCACCATCAATAATCTACTAATTTAAGTGATTTATGTGATGAACTATGTTTAAAAACAGTTCACCCTACTGAGTAGTGTTTGAAATCTACTTACTATTAATAATCTACTAATTTAGACGTTTTAAGTGATGAGTTGTAGTTAAAAGCAGTTCACCCTACTGAGTAGTGTTTGAAATCTACTCACTATCAATAATCTACTAATTTAGATGTTTTAAGTGATGAGTTGTGTTTAAAAACAGTTCATCCTACTCAGTAGTGTTTGAAATCTACTCACTATTAATAATCTACTAATTTAGATGTTTTAAGTGATGAGTTGTGTTTAAAAACAGTTCATCCTACTCAGTAGTGTTTGAAATCTACTCACTATTAATAATCTACTAATTTAGATGTTTTAAGTGATGAGTTGTGTTTAAAAACAGTTCATCCTACTCAGTAGTGTTTGAAATCTACTCACTATTAATAATCTACTAATTTAGACGTTTTAAGTGATGAGTTATGGTTAAAAACAGTTCATCCTACTCAGTAGTGTTTGAAATCTACTCACTATTAATAATCTACTCATTTAGACGTTTTAAGTGATGAGTTGTGTTTAAAAACAGTTCACCCTACTGAGTAGTATTTGAAATCTACTCACTATTAATAATCTACTAATTTAGACGTTTTAAGTGGCGAGTTAATAAAAAGTGAATCAAAGGGATTGCAAGGAACGACAACTCTGTACGAGAGATTATAACAACCAGTGAACCTATTAATGGCGGCAAACGTTTTTTTTAAATCGATGGGTTAACTTATTTAATCTTTTTATTATTATTCATAAATATTCTTGGAATAATTGAAACAATAACAAAAAATATACAAATGATTTTGACACTTGAAAGACCGTAGAATAACATAACAGGGTCTTTCGGTAGCTCTATCCATTCTGATCCCAATGCCAATGTAAGTGAGGTAGCGAGTTGTATTGCTTGCACACCCAGAGAAGCAGAATTGCTCTTCTTTGCAAAAGTAATACCAAGTCCCAGACCTGGAAATAAAAACATAAGTACGTGTACAATACCTTTAATATGTGTAATAAATGCCAGAAAGGTGATGAAAATATTGAGTCAACATCTTTTGAGATGGCTCCCCATATTTTGATTTATGAAATTGAAAATGCTAATACGTATATGAACGGAAAGTAGAGATATTCTAATGATTTGGGAAAATACCAGTTTGTCTAACATGTCCATACTTAATTCATAATTAGCTAAATTAGAAGAGAATTACCAGCAGAATTCAAATGAGTGACCGATCAAGAAAGGTCAAAAAGTCGTTTTTTGTTTACAGACTGTACATACATGGACATAAATGATTGATTAAAACTCTTTACTTTATGCAATAAGAACATGATGATATGATTAAGAATAGAAACACCTTGCTTAAATTGACACTAAAAATAAGGAAACCCATCTAAAACATACATGCAGTCCTATAATGTTGATTTTAAGTAGTTTCAAGTAACAGAATGTTCATTCAATTACGACTATGACCTATGACCAACACTTAGATTTCATTTACATAGTTCGAAATAAATTTCTGATTCAACAAACCTATTAAAGACGTAGCGTCTCTGATGATGGAAAAGAACAGGCTCGAGTCTAGATGAATCCAATCTGGGTTTAAACATCTTCTCTTGGCCTTTGTTATTGACCAGAAAGGATCAAGACCAAGATTTTGAATGATGGAAAAGGTTCCCCATCCTCCGAGTAACATCAAAAGAGATAAGACCAGGTAATGTTTCAGTTGAAGTTCTGTAGTTGATATTCTGTTCATGATATAACCTATAACGACGCCTTAAAAATACAAAGAAACTGGATAAAGAATTTAATCCAGTCTGGGTTTAAACATTTTCTCTTGGCCTTGGTTATTGATCAGAAAGGATCAAGACCATGATTAGGAATGGCGGAAAAGGTTCCCCATCCTCCTAGTAGCACCAGAAGAGATAAGACTAGGTAATGTTTCAGTTGATATTCTGAAATTTAATTCTGTGTTAAAAAAAACCTAGCAATTATGCACCGATTGGTTCGCTCTTTCAAAAGACATTTGCTTTCGATAATTTACTATAAAGAGTCGTTCAGTCCAAAACAACAAGCATAAATATGAGTACGAAACGTAATGTATTCTGGAGGAATTGGTATGCAATAAAGATATCAAGACACAACTTTATGGATGATAAAATACTTGCATAACCTTGCAAGCATATCTTCATATACCAGATTGTACGTACCAACAATAACTCCCGCAATGACCTGATGAGGGAAATGGGCAGCTATAAAACATCTGGATAAACATACTAACACCAGTACTAACCCGTAAACAATCCATAATATACAACGAAGTACTACACTGAAATGAATTAGCTTAAGAAATAACACTGCATAAAATGGTCTTCTGTGTCACCACCATTTCGGGTTAAAGATTAGAAAACGGCATATAATTCACCATCAAGTCATACTGAGAAAATATCAACGCCCACCACTCAACTTAATTGTTGGTCTAATAAATCTTATTCGTTAACATACTCGCGTTCTTGTCTTTGAGACAGAAATATCATAATATACCAACATTACAACTTAAAACCCAAAAGCAAGCGGGGTTCGAGGTCAACATCATTCCGCCTTCTCTTAATCCAAAGGGTTAAAGATTACCTTTTTATGCGACTATAAAATATAAAATCTGATACTAGAATGTAGATCACAGAAGAGGTCACCATACAATGTCCAGAAGGACTTCCTGAAAACAAAACAAACATATCTAAGCAAATGTAGTACAAAATAAATAACACGGCCTACATAGTGGTGTAATACAGTCTCGAGTTTTAAGAAAAACATTTAACTCGATAAAAACTTTAGCAATGTGTCCCAGGTTTTGATGAAGCTCGTGAAGAACAAATTGACTTCGTCATTGTCACCATACGTGAATAAAATATGACCGAAAATGGTCTCTATCTCTTCGCAGTCATAATGTTGATACAGTTTGGCAACAACTTGTATCTGTTTAAGATGCCAAGTCTTCGCACCTGTGACACATGCAGACATAACATGAAAGCATTTTGCTTCGGAACAATGTCCAGATAGTGAAAAACATCAAATTAAAAAAACAAATCCATTGAATCCAATATAAGAATATTTAGATCCAATTGAAGTTCATGGACGCTCGTTCGTGTCTTCTGATAAATTTATATCTGGCTTCACTCTACATGTAAATATTAAATTTTTGTTTATTTGCTTGATAAGAATATTAACAAAGGCCTACCTGGCCCCGTTTCACAGGTGATATCAAATTGATCTAATGTTGGAGGCGATTCATATACTCCGGATTCATAAACCCACCAATATGGTCTTTCACCATGTAGAATCCTGCGTAATCATCATGCGAAATATGAAATACTGAGGTAATACAATTCTTGCAGAGTACTTCCATCTATTCACAAAAGCTTCAATAGATATTCTAGCCTATATTTGTATGTATATTTTTATACTCTTTTATTTGCATCATTATGATTCATGTTTTATTGGAATTGCAAGAACCACACACGTCGAACAAGAAATCGGCATGATACTAATAGAAGCTAAAATAAATGTAGATATCCCTGATACACATAAAAACATTTTTGAATGTCGTAATGAATGTAAATGCCACAGTTCAATCTAAGAAGAAAAAAAATTGTTACCAAACAAACTTAAGTCAGTTACTGCACTGAAAATTTGGTAGCTATCTTTTTGGGTACTATTAGTAATGGTTTTCCGCCGGAGACACCAATACAATTATGTTACAAACTTACCACTTGAACACAGCATTCAACCACTCGGCAACAGCGGCAACTAACAATACCCGTTTGCCAACAGATTGATGAAGGCAGAATGCCACAGGAAAATATATGAGGAATGCATTTTTTGGATCACTTAGATGGGAGATCAATGTCATATGAGAAGACTCATTCTGAAATAAAAATTCCTATGATTTGGATCCACTCCAAATGGATGGAGTATTATTTCAGTCGCAATTCAGGCTTCCTACGGTAATAATTTGAGTTGCATCATTATTTGTTACCAATATCATTTTGCTTCATATTAGACTCATACCAATAAAAGATGAAAACACGATCGAACGCTTTACGAACGTCAATATTAGTCTGTTGTACATGGGATATGTCATTAATTCTTAATTTAATTTTTTCTTAGTGCCATAATCGAAACGGAACTACTTAAAGATGGGTTTCCTTATTTTTAAGCGTCAAATGAAGCAAACTTTTGAATTTATTGTGTTCCAAATGAATTATCATGTATTCTTAATCATATTATTATGTTCTTATTGCAAATAATTCTAATCATAAATGACCATGTATGTACAGTCTGGATAAACAACTTTTTAAGCTTTCTTGATCATTCACTGATTGGAATTCTGCATGTAATTCTTTCTAATTTAGTTAATCGTGAATTAATTATGGACATGTGAGACAAACTGGTATTTTTCATGTCATTAGAACACCTATTCTTTCTATTAATATAAGTATTAGCATTTTCATTTTCATAAATAAATATAAGAGAACCCATCTTTTAGAATTCTGAGATCGTATATACATGCATAATAGTGATGCTTAAAACCCTATATTAATCAGTATAGAATTATATATTATTATTTGTTTTTAAAATCATTTGAGTGAGCTGCGCAGACCTTGAAATGTCCTTGGAGTGTCTGTATCACTGAGATGCCATATTTGTGAATATCATCCATTCTACCTATGAAAAATTAAAAACATATGTAAGTCCCGGATGAAATGCAAAAATTTTGTTGTTTAATGTGATATGTTGCATTGAAAATAAATAAAACTTTGGTTTAATAGTGGTCTGTTTGCTTACGTTTAATACTTGTTACTTCCCTTTCAATTTGCGTTTTCAATAATTTACGATATTAGGCCTTAGATCCCTAAAACATCAGCATAAGTGAACCGAATTATGTAAATTTCAAGAATGCAAATGTAATATCCCGATCATAGATATAAATTCAGCCCAAGTATTAAAGTGTAGGTCTAAACTAAAGCTAAAATTATAACGTTATGAGCAAATCAATATCTACTAATAATCCAGAGTCATTCCACAGCATTTTATACAATATATTGATATTACCTGAGAAATAGCTATTATTATCACTAATAACTCGTTGACTAAATCACCATTCTTACATAAATCCACGTGGAGATATTCAGTTGGTCATGCAATAATCAATGTTCAAGGGAGATAACAATCAAAACAAACATTTTGCTTTAAAATCAGACCACTGTAATATTAATAGGTTAAATTTTAGTTCTTATTTTATGGTGATTTTCCCGTCTATTTATCATTCTTGTTTTATAGAGTCAATAGAGTAAAAATTATTAAATAAACTTCATTTCCTTATTACATATTAAAGAGACAGTTGCGCCATTTTAAGGGGTTGATTTGAGCCTTGAATATATGTAATGGTCTTCAGAAGTACTACAAATGTTCGAAAATCGCATAATTCCTTCAGAAATATCTCAAACTAGGAATTATTTCGTATTTCTACATATGTATTTTTCTATATATGACAGTGTCGTCATTTTAACTTTCAAACACGAATAATTCTAGAACCACATGGATTTGAAGGCTCAAATCTGGACGATGGGCTGTAAACACTGATTGCCTTAATTTTAAAAATATTCCCGTTTCTGAGGTATAATTGGTCAAAAATGGCACACCTGTCCATTTAAAATAATGTCTAACGTTTGTCTAAACTTAGAACTGACGACGTTTCTACCTCAACTCAGCTCTACTGGAAATGAAACCGGGGGTTATTACAACTGGACTTCTTTGTCAAACAGTTTTGGAATAATAACATTAGAATAAGCTGCATATCAAGGATTTTCGAGTTACAGCTCCTGATATGTGGATCTTCAGCAAGGAAATGAACTCAACAAATAAAGAAGACACAACTGATTTATCATTTTTAAAATCCGTTTTTTTTTTTGATTACACAACTATAGTTACTATAATAACAAAAAATTGAAAAATAAACTTTCATTCTGTGGATGTCTATGCATATTTGTTGATGAATCTAAGCCAACTCTGGTTAAATATTTCTACAGCCAGCGCCTTTTCTTCAGTCGACATAACACTGTATCTGAAACATAAAATATCAGTCTGATTGGAATGCAGATCTAGGTGTTCTAGGTCATCTTAAAAAACCAATCAAATGCATCGTTATCAACAGTTTGGCTAAATTATTTGAAGAAATTTAGAATTTCCATTGTTAAAAATTTGCAATCACTGTGAATCCACTTTTAACAATGATTCACATTGGTTATCACAGGTATTAAACAGAGCATGATTTTAATAATAATTTTCTTAGATCACCCATCATGGATCGCATGTTTAGTAAGCCACTGTAAAACCACGAAATGAACACCCAGATGTACATTACAATCATACAATGCATAAGGTACCAATTACGAAGTCAGGCACTATGTCATAAGGGATGGAAAATTGTGTTGCCAAGCCTAATACGACCTCATTTAACTTAAAATGAGTATTAGTTCGCATAGATCTTCATATCTGATATTCGGTTATGCATCATCTTTGTGTGCAATGATTATAGTATGTTCGTTCACATGGTTGTCTTGTCGATATCTAAGCGATTAGATACCACAAAATATCACCAAAGAAAACAAGAAAAGATATCCGGCTATGTTTAATCTTCCTATGCAATGATCTAGTAGGATATTTCACATGGTTGTCTTGTCGATATCTAAGCGATTAGATACCACAGATTTTAATCCCAATCAAAGTTCATATTCCACTACAAAAAAAACCCTTAAATACTTACTTTATGGAGTTAAGCGCTAGTTGTTTAAATATTCTAATATCATCGTCTTGACCACACAATGCCATAAATGTCTCATAGAAGTCATGAGATAATGGTGTCGCGTCCCAAACAGCTGGATCATCCGAGCTTATTACCACTGGATAGTTTTGTGCTATCAGGAACGTACCAGGATGGTTTCTTAAATCATGCACCAAGTGTAAAACCTGTTTTAGCATATGTTTAAGGTTATTGAATTTTCAGGAATTATCAAGCCGCTTTGTATCATACTAATTTCCAATCCGACTATGCTATGCTATATACCAATGTTAGAGTGATATCAAAATAATGCACAATTCTTCTTATGACTTTGACAATCTAATGTACAATGAAAATACTCATTCTACGGTCAGCATCACGAACTAGTTATGTGCTAAAGGCCTTTGTATTTGCAGCTCAAGATCATGCCGTGAATTGAAAGGGAAACATCGCAAGTGGCAGTCTGGATTTTTAACCAAGCAATATTCACTATCATAGCTCTTTTTCTATAAACGCCCAAATTAAATGCGCTTTTAGTCAAAGACATTCTGTGGCGAAATGTTTATCACCAAAGGCAATAACGATGCTAGCAATAACTGTCGATAGAGACCAGAGAGATTAGATTTCACAGACCTGATTCGATATTGGATTCAGTTCAATAGCTATATCTCGGTCTTTAACCATTTTCAAAACATTAGGATGCTTTGTGACAGCGAAACCATGTCCAATTCTCGTAGAATTTAACAGGACAGCATCTATCAGGTTCTTGTCAATCGATGTACCTTGCCAATCTAAAATGTTGAAGTATATAAGAATTAGAATACTCCATTTAAGTTGAATTTATTAGATAGATAACGTGCTTATTAAAACATAAAGTTAGTAAAATGATATTTTATAGATGCAAATTTCCCTCCCAAGTTTTTACACTTCAAAAGACTACTGTCGTAAAAAAAATGTTCAAAATGATTTTAGTTTTGACAACGAAGATTCATTCTAAGACTATCAATGCCATTCTAAAGGTAATTCCAATTCTCATAAAAAATAATCTGTTCAATTTAATTAGCTGTAAGCATACATACGTTCGTGGAACTCGTTTATACAATTTTGAAAAAGTTGTGTTACATGATAATCGCCAATCGATCCAGCTACGTCTTGGACTGAAGATTAAACATTTCACTTTGGACAATTTGGGTTTGTGAATGTAAAGCAGTTAAAAGCAAAAGGGTTTGTAACGTAGGTAATAAGAGAAAAATCTTACTCGTTTCTCCTGAGTGAAAGAAAAATCGTAGATCAATAGGTGGACTATAGGAACTTGGTAGCATCAGTTCGTTGATATAATAGACATGAGGGTTGCCCTTGCCTTCTTGAAATACCAGATCATAGCCTGCCATCAAATCGGGGTATGCAATTTTCAATGATATGGCTAACTCCACATCTTCACGTATTTCACTTGTTGATAAATACCTGAAGGAGAAAACTAAGAATAACTTTCACGTCAACTTTACGTGAGGATGTATCACCAACCTCAGCTCCGGAAGACATCATTGTTGGTCAAGTTAAATAACATGCTTAGAACGACATTTAAGTTAAATGAGTTTTAATTTATAAAATTTGTAATTTGTTTGGTTATGTTGCACAAATGATGCTTATGGGTTGTAATCTCAGTCGGCGTGTGAAAGTCTGGTGAACTGGAAGAAGGCTTCTTTTCTTTGTTTTCAAGTCGACCCAGCTCTAAACAGGTACTGATAATCCGGGGGGAACAGCTGGTAAAAGGATTCTAAATGAACCTAAGTTGTTATTCTTGTGCAAAAGTTGTTACTTACTTTCTTTTCTTGATTCCATGGAAAAAAATATGTTCAATCAAGGAACTGCTCAGACACATTCACAATAAATGATTTGTATTTATTAATATACCTGTTTCCAGCCAAAATAATTTTGAAACCATTGAAATCGGGATTTTCAGCACGATAAGAATTGAGCTGCTCCTGATAAATCTGCATACCATAATGTCTGGGGTGAGTTCTTCCATCAAGTTCATATAGCTAACAACGAAATGAAAACTTTAATATTCACCACGAAAAATAAATTCAATTTTAGAATATTTGCAGGGCATCTATAAGGATTGTGACTTATGACTTTATGACACCAGTAATTTTGAAGAAGTAAACCTATGTTCATTTCAATCCCTTCCTGAGGAGGAGCATTAATGCCAGAAAAAACGAACACGAAATGCATACTTTAATAATTCACCACGAAAAAAATCTATTTTAGAATTACTGAGGGCATCGATACAGAATATGACTTGTGCCTAAATGAGAACTTTATAATCAGTACTCGTACTCGTAATGCACCAACCGAACAACCTTTCAGACCAACGTCACTGACAGAGAGATCTGGGTTAACAATCCAGGCAAGCTGAACTTAATTTCGTTTTATTTCTAGAACAACCTAATATTTACGTACATGTGGTAAATCAGCTCTTATTTCTAGATATTGTACATTGTCTTCCTGGAATTGTTTCATGGCCTCCCAAATATAATCTCGGAAAACAGGTGCGTACTGAATCAGACCATCTATCATAGTAAAAGCTTCTACAAAATCATCCCATACATCATTGACTGTAACATGCTGTATCTCTGGATTGCTAATCACGACCGAAAATTTGTCATAGAGGCTGTAAGAACAAAAGGTTAGTGAAAACTAAATGACGACGAATCTTCCGGAAAATTGCTTCACTGACTATGTTAGTATGGGGTTACATTTATTTTAGAAAAAAATCACCCAATTTTAATGAAGATTTGTTTACTGTACCTTCGATCGAATGCTTTAACATTCCTTGATTCACGACGTGCTTGAGCTATTGAGATCCACGGACAATCTGTAATGTTATCACATATAGAAGTTTAATGTCTAACATGTGACGCTCAAGTCTTCATTTGATATGACTGGGTTTTGGGCTAATGAAAAGTCTATTTGCCAGGACAGCGGCATCGGCCGCTCGATTTCCATATATCGATAGATCGTTACAGTTCGCAGTCTGCAACGTAGATTTATTGTCCCATCCAAGCGACGTTTTTGTCCATGTCTTCCTGCCGACCAGCTTGAAATATATTTTCAATGTATTATTTGAGGGTATTATCCTTACAGGAATCAAACTCTATACCCTCTTGGTCCTGGATATTAATTTTGCAATAGCCTTATCCTTTTGACATTTTTTACATTAAAATATTCTCCATATATTTTGCATATGCATGCAGAAGAGGGTCACTCTTCTGGTGGACCTTACTTAGTTTTTAATGGAATGTTTTCTTGTTAGAGAGTCATATAAAATTTAATCGAATGTATGTTTGTCGTCACTAAAAAAGAACAACAAACCTGAGTTTTCCGGAGCAGTATCAAAGAAACGAAATCTGTATTTCCCATCAGAAGTTCGGCACATGTAACAATGCGGCCTGTATGTAATATTGTAAACCAACCAGTCCGTAGATACTATTGACGTACTGTGGACATGCAAGGCAGCACCTAAACAAATACTTATATATCTAATGGATATCTAGAGATTTTTTAAGTTGTTTTTTGTGTGTATGAGGAAAACTATATCTAGGTGTTTTATGACGTCACTATCACAAACGCCCTTCGATATCATCAGCAGCTTTTATATGAGTATCAGTAAAATTACATATTACGAAATTCGAGTTTTGTTTTGTATCTTTTGAACAATGAAAAGTAAAAAGAAAAACGTACCTTTGGGCATATCCCGGATCATGTGAAAGATGGATGAGGCATCAATCAGTGGCTTGGTTTTAAAGAAATTCAGTGCTGGTGGGAATATGGTGTTATTGAGCCTGGAACTTTCAGTAACTCGGAACTTTTCTTTCATAAACTTTTCGTTTACACGAATCTCTCGTTCAGTCAATGTTATGTCATTTCCGGTCCTCTGGCATCTTTCCTGAGCAATAAATCTTTCCCTTTCTTGAAAGTAAGCGTTTGGAACAGACGATCTAGATCCAACTACCATTAGCACCAATATAATATTCACAACGAACATCTTGCGTTTGCGACAGACTAACTAACACTGATCAGCTGGAATATGGTTAAAATAATAGAAACTGTAATTTGTATATTTTTGACCTTTTGAACGGATATTGACATACTGGGATTCAAATAACGAAATTAATTTCAAATGTTTAATAGATCAAGCGATGAGAATAATATATGTCATCGACAGCATATCTGAAATACAGTGCCAAAATCTTATTGGACTCTTCGAAAGGGGTAAAAAAATTAACCTAGTAATTTAAAAGACTAAAGTGCATCAAGACCAAGATTTTGAATGATGGAATAGGTTCCCCATCCTCCGAGTAACATCAAAAGAGATAAGACCAGGTAATGTTTCAGTTGAAGTTCTGTAGTTGATATTCTGTTCATGATATAACCTATAACGACGCCTTAAAAATACAAAGAAACTGGATAAAGAATTCAATCCACTCTCGGTTTAAACATTTTCTCTTGGCCTTGGTTATTGATCAGAAAGGATCAAGACCCAATGTCTTGGTTTCTCCGACATCCTCCGACTCCTCCACCACTCCGACAAGTCATTTTGAGCCTTGACATTCGTTTTCTTGACGCTTGCTGCAATAAAAAATTGGAATGTTCTTAATATGTATGATGAAACGAAACAATAAATAATCTTTTCATTTTTCAACATAAAATTTTGTGACTATAATTATCGTAAGTGTGAAGATAGCAAAATTTAACCACCCCACTATGTCGAGTTTAATCGTTAATTATAGTAAGCGCTCCGTGTTATTTCTTTTTAGATTTTCGTGTTTTCCAATTCGTGAATATCAAGACTCAAAATGACTTGTCGGAGAGGCGGAGGAGTTGGGGGATGTCGGGAAACCAAGACACCGATCAAGACCATGAGTTGGAATGGTCGTAAAGGTTATGCGTCAATTGGTTCGCTGACGATAATCTACTATCAAGAGTCGCTTAGTCCAAAAAACAACACGCACCAAAATGTCCACGAAAGTATTGTGAAGGGAGGACTCAGTATACAATGCATACAAATAAACATATCAAGACACAACTTTATGGATGATAAAATATTTGCATAACCTTACAACCAAATCATCATATACAAAATTCAGCAGTAGCCATTTTGACTTTTGTCTAAATTTTCAACTGACGACTTTTGTACCGCAGCTCAGCTTTTACTGGAAATGAAACAGGGGGTTTTTACAACTGGACTTCCCTGTCAAAAAGATTTTGGAATAATAACAGCATAAAAAGTTGCATTTGAAGGAACTTCGTAAAAATTATTACGATCAGTAGTCGTGAGTTATAGCGTTTCATATGTGGATCTTCAGCAAAGACTAATAAAGAAGACACACTTGATTTATCATTTTTAAAATCCATTTTTGTATTTTTGGATTACTCAACAATTAAATGGAAAATGAATTTTTATTCTGTGGATATGCTATTTTATGCATATTTGTTGATGAATCTAAGCCAACTCTGGTTAAATATTTCTACAGCCAGCGCCTTTTCTTCAGTCGACATAACACTGTATCTGAAACATAAAATATCAGTCTGATTGGAATGCAGATCTAGGTGTTCTAGGTCATCTAAAAACCAATCAAATGCTCCGTTATAAACACTTTGGCTACATTATTTGCATGATTTTAAGAATGATTTCCTTAGATCATCCATCATGGATCGCATGTTTAGTAAGACACTGTAAAACCACGAAATGAACATCCAGATGTACAATGCATAAGGTACCAATTACGAAGTCAGCCACTATGTCATAAGGGAATAGAAGCCTTATACGACTTTATTTAACTTCAGATGAATTTGAGTTTTGTTTCACATAAATACTGATTTGTGATGTCATTAGTCCTAAAATATCAGCAAAGAAAACAAGAAAAGATATTCGGCTATGTTTAATATTCCTATGCAATGATCTAGTAGGATAGTTCACATGGTTGTCGATATCTAAGCGATTAGATACCACAGATTTTAATCCCAATCAAAGTTCATATTCCACTACAAAAAAAAAACCTTAAATACTTACTTTATGGAGTTAAGCGCTAGTTGTTTAATTATTCTAATATCATCGTCTTGACCACACAATGCCATAAATGTCTCATAGAAGTCATGAGATAATGGTGTTGCGTCCCAAACAGCTGGAGCATCCGAGCTTATTACCACTGGATAGTTTTGTGCTATCAGGAACGTACCAGGATGGTTTCTTAAATCATGCACCAAGTGTAAAACCTGTTATAGCATATGTTTAAGGTTATTGAATCTTCAGGAATTATCAAGCCTATTTTTGTATCATACTAATTTCCAATCCGACTATGCTATGCTATATACCAATGTTAGAGTGAAATCAAAATAATGCACAATTCTTCTTGACCTTGACAATCTAAAGTACAATGATAAAAATACTCATGCTAGGGGTATTCTTCATATTTTCGTTTGCATTGTTTCCAAATTATTGGAAATTTACTGGCAATGTCTTGAAGTCAGTATCACGAAATAGTTATGTGCTGAAGGCTTTTGTATTTACACCTCAAGACCGTCGATTTGAAAGAAAATGGCTGACGGTGCAAGTGGTAGTTTGGATTCTTAACCAAGCAATGTTCACTACCATAGCTCTTTTTTAGATTATATAAACGCCCATATCCAATACGCTTTCAGTCAAAGTAATTAAGTGGCGAAGTGCAATAACGATGCTAGCAATAACTGTTGATAGAGACCAAAGAGATTAGATTTCACAGACCTGATTCGATATTGGATTCAGTTCAATAGCTATATCTCGGTCTTTAACCATTTTCAAAACATTAGGATGCTTTGTGACAGCGAAACCATGTCCAATTCTCGTAGAATTTAACAGGACAGCATCTATCAGGTTCTCGTCAATCGATGTACCTTGCCAATCTATTGTTCAGGTGTATAAGAAATAGAATACCCCATTTAAGATGAATTTATTAGATATACATCTATGTGTTCACGAGCAAGAGCAATTGACGAAAATAATAAATGACACTTCTAAATTATCGGATTATTTTTAAGTGAGTTCTAAAAACAATATTGAAGGTCTTACATAAAAACATAAAGTTAATGAAATTACATTTTATATATGCAAACTTCCGTCTCAAGTTTTTTAACTTCTGAAAAGTTACGTGAAAATCATCAATTGATCCGCTATGTCTTGGACTGAAGATTAAACATTTCACCTTGGACGATTTGAGTATGTGAATGTAAAGCAGTTAAACGCAAAGGGGTTTGGAACGTAGGTAATGAGAGAAAAATCTTACTCGTTTCTCCTGAGTGAAAGAAAAATCGTAGATCAATAGGTGGACTATAGGAACTTGGTAGCATCAGTTCGTTGATATAATAAACATGAGGGTTGCTCTTGCCTTCTTGAAATATCAGATCATAGCCTGCCATCAAATCGGGGTAAGCAACTATCAATGATATGGCTAACTCCACATCTTCACGTATTTCACTTGTTGATAAATGTCTGAAGGAGAAAAGTAACTTTCACGTCGACTTTACGTGAGGATGTATCACCAATAGATTCGGAAGACGTCATTGTTGCTCATGTTAAATAACATGCTTAGAATGACATTTAAGATTAATGAGTTTTAATTTATGTTCATTATCACTATACCAGTCTAAATGTGTCTCAAACCCAAAAAAACTTTACATGGTGTAATTTGTTTGGTTATGTTGCACAAATGGTGTTAATGGGTTCTAATCTCAGTCGGCGTGTGAAAGTCTGGTGAATTGGAAGAAGACTTCTTTTCTCTTGTTTCAAGTCGACTCAACTGTAAACAAGTACTGATAATCCGGGAGGTTTGACCAAGGATCAGCTGGTAGAAGGATTTTAAGTGAACCTAGGTTGTTAATCTTGTTACTTACTTTCTTTTCTTGATCAAATGCAAAAATAAATATGTTCAATCAAGGACACATTCACAATTAAAACTGTATTTATCTCATAATTAATATACCTGTTTCCAGCCAAAATAACTTTGATACCATTGAAGTCGGGATTTTCAGCACGATAAGAATTGAGCTGCTCCTGATAAATCTGCATACCGTAATGTCTGGGGTGAGTTCTTCCATCAAGTTCATATAGCTAACAACGAAATGAAAACTTTTATATTCACCACGAAAAATAAATTCAATTTTAGAATATTTACAGGGCATCTATAAGGAATGTGACTTATGACTTTATGACACCAGTACTTTTGAAGAAGTAAGCATATGTCCATTTCAATTCCTTCTTCAGGAGGCACATTACTCACAGAGAAAACGGGCTCAAAATACAGAAAAAATCTATTTTAGAATTATTAAGGGCATCGATACAGAATATGACTTGTGTCTTAATGATAATTTTATAATCAGCAAGTACACGATTTCACCCCCTTCAACCCTTCAGACAAACGTCACTGACAGAGAGTTAACAACCCAGGAAGGCTGAACTTATTTCTAGAACAACCTAATATTTACGTACATGTGGTAAATCAGCTCTTATTTCTAGATATTGTACATTGTCTTCCTGGAATTGTTTCATGGCCTCCCAAATATAATCTCGGAAAACAGGTGCGTGCTGAATCAGACCATCTATCATAGTAAAAGCTTCTACAAAATCATCCCATACATCATTGACTGTAACATGCTGTATCTCTGGATCGCTAATCACGACCGAAAATTTGTCATAGAGGCTGTAAGAAGAAAATGACGACGAATCTTCGGGGGAAATTGCTTCACTGACTATGATAGAATAGGTTTACATTCATTTTAGAAAAAAAAATTCATGAAAATTTGTTTACTGTACCTTTGATCGAATGCTTTAACATTCCTTGATTCACGACGTGATTGAGCTATTGAGATCCACGGACAATCTGTAATGTAATCACATAGAAGTTTAATATCTAACATGTGACGCTTAAGTCTTCATGTGATTTAACTGGGTTTTGGGCTAATGAAAGGGCAACAACATACAGTTTTGCCAGGACCGCTCGATTTCTATATATCGAGAGATCGTTACAGTTCAGTCTGCAACGTAGATTTATTGTCCCATCCAAGCGACGTTTTTGTCAATGTCATCCTGCCGACCAGCTTGGAATATTTCAGTGTATTATTTGAGGTTATTATCCTTACAGGGATCAAACTCTATACCGTCTAGGTCCTGGATATGAATTTCGCAATAGCCTTTTTCTTTTGGCATCCTTTACATTATAATATTCTCATTTTCCATAAGCACCAAGAAGAGAGACACTCTTTTGGTGGACCTTATTTAGTTTTTAACGTTAGAGAGTCAAATAAAATTTAATCGAATGTATGTCGTCACTAAAAAAATAACAAACCTGAGTTTTCCGGAGCAGTATCAAAGAAACGAAATTTGTATTTCCCATCAGAATTTCGGCACATGTAACAATGCGGCCTGTATGTAATATTGTAAACCAACCAGTCCGTAGATACTATTGACATACTGTGGACATGCAAGGCAGCACCTAAACAAATACTTATATATCTAATGGATATTTAGAGATTTTTTAAGTTGTTTTTGTGTGTGTGAGGAAAACTATATCTAGGTGTTTTATGACGTCACTATCACAAACGCCCTTCGATATCAGCAGCAGCTTTTGTGATAGTGACGACATTAAGCATTTCGATAATTAGGGAACCATTTAACTGAAAATTTGAATGGTGCAAATTGATTCTATCAGTGTCATTGATACACAAGTTTAGAGACAAAGTTTTAACATTACAATGAACAAAATAAAAGTGGATAACGTCAATATGAGTATCAGTAAAATTACATATTACGAAATTCGAGTTTTGTTATAATATATCTTTTGAACAATGAAAAATAAAAAGAAAAACGTACCTTTCGGCATATCTCGGATCATGTGAAAGATGGATGAGGCATCAATTAGTGGCTTGGTTTTAAAGAAATTCAGTGCTGGTGGGAATATGGTGTTATTGAGCCTGGAACTTTCAGTAACTCGGAACTTTTCTTTCATAAACTTTTCGTTTACCCGAATCTCTCGTTCAGTCAATGTTATGTCATTTCCGGTCCTCTGGCATCTTTCCTGAGCAATAAATCTTTCCCTTTCTTGAAAGTAAGCGTTTGGAACAGATGATCTAGATCCAACTACCATTAGCACCAATATAATAATCACAACGAACATCTTGCGTTTGCGACAGACTAACTAACACTGATCAGCTGGAACATGGTTTAAATAATAGAAATTGACATACTGGGATTCAAATAATGAAATTAATTTCAAATGTTTAATAGATCAATCGATGAGAATATAGGTCATCGACAGCATATCTGAAATACAGTGCCAAAATCTTATTAGACTCTTCGAAAGGGGTAAAAATTGACCCAGTAATTTAAAAGACGAACGTGTATTATAAAAAAAAACTATGAAGAATTCTGTAGTCAGAAAACAAATCAATAACGTGGGGAGGAGAACGACAGACGGACATGGGTTCCAAAACACCTCTTAGGAACAAATGCAAGGATGGTCTGCAATTATATTCATTCTTGCTTTGAGAAAAGAAAATTAAAACGTTGAAGTTGTTTTGTTTTTTTCTTATTTTTCATTTTATTTTGTTCAATATGCATTAAATATCCTATATTAAACTGTGTCTATCGTGTACTATAAAATTAGTGTTGTTCGTCATAGAGGCAGTACCTTTCTCGTCTATTTTTGTTATTTTCGCTTGATACAGGGATTAGTCCCGAAACGTAGCTTTTCCTACTGTTTGCACGTTATCGTGTGATTTATTTTTCCCTTTATTTCAAGACGACTCGTCGTTTTATATTTTTTTTATATATATAAAATTATGCTATACATTTTTTCCGTCTTTATATTAGATTTAACATGTTCTGTTAGTATTATGTATATTTTTCTCTGTGCATTATTAATATAATGTAATTCATCATCGTTATAATTCGCAGAACACTACAAGTAAAGCAGGATATGTTTATTTATCACCAACTGGTACATGTTACGAGATTTCCTACCTCTTTACCATAAGTGGGTATATGAGGATGGATTGAAAAGTGATTAAAGAGTGAGAACACTACACTACACTAACTTTCGTGGTTTTAATGATACTTCGTAGAATTAACATATTAAGTCTGGTTTTCCCACAATTCAACAAAAACAAAGTGCAAATTTTGTCACTTTCAAAGCATTAACCAATCTTATTTTCTAAAAATATCAATCTTTAGTCCAATAATCTAGCTCCACCCGTTCCTTGGAGCGGGATATCCGCATGTTTAGAGCCAGGCAAATAGTCACTGTTCATGGCTCCGAGACACTTTCAGATCGCTAGTTCTTGAGAACTTCTACTAAAAGTCACATATTTAGCATAATTTGTATCTTGAGCATATATAACCATATACAAGCCATCTTTGTATGAGCAAATCAAGACATCGCCCGATATTGTACATTGTCCCTGTGCCCAATATGACACCAAAGCAGGAAAGGATAGGGCTAGATTTGTCGGGCTAATTAATGGTGTGACTTTAGATGTTCTTCTCGGTAGTCTGTTTGACGCTTTTATGTCACTTGAATAAGAATTCTAACTTTTATCTCAGTGAGCCGCAAAACATTTTCATACACCCTCATTCATCTTAGCATATTTATAATTTATTCCTCAATATCAGTTATCATTTTACACCTTGCCGAACATATCGAAAGATGGATACTTTTCAATTCGTTACCTTACTATATCTGGTACCGGCTTGTTTGTCCAGATCGCTGTCCGATAATGTTACCGAGCTCGCAAATTTAAAAACTCAAGTTCACCAACTTCAGGATCAACTCGGAAACATTAGCAATATTCTTCAAAACGGTGAGTGTTCATTAATTATTCTATTATTAATTATTATTTCAATTTAAGATCAAATACTGTCTGGTAAGCTATAGACAGAATATACTTAATCATTGAATATTAACCACTACCACAATGAATCGTCACAAATTTGGAGTTTCTCTCCACTTTACCCCAACGCAGTCACCAAGATATACATCATATGGTATGCAAGGTCGTCATAATATAAAAAAAGTCGTTATACTATCTTGAAACTGTTATATTTCAGGAAATGTAAAAGTCGGTCCAAATGTCCACTTCTTTGCAAGGATGAGTGGAACAAAAACCTTGAATATGAATTCAATAGTCGTATTTGATGAAGAAATTGACGATTACGATAACAACTACAATCGAGGAGATGGTATATTTGTTGCTCCGGTCACAGGATTTTACCAATTTTCGTGGACTCTTTTTACTGCCAGCAAAAAGAATATTTATACTGAGCTACGAGTAGATAATTTTGTTATCGATGTTGCCTATGATTACAGTAGTGCTGGCTCTACAAGTGTTTCCAAAACTGTCATTTGTAAGGTTAAGAAAGGGAATCATGTGTGGATTCAGACTGGTGGCCAATATTCGGAGAACTATTTCTACAAATATGTTGGGTCTAAGAATTCGTTTATGGGACTGTTGCTCCATGAAGCAAATTCCTAAATCATGATAGCTTTTCTAAATCAATGTATTACATTATATTAACATTGTAACCTTTGCTTAGTTTGCTGTTATTCAGAGCTGCGTCACACTGTCCCGAAAATTGCACCAAAAAAAACCCTGAAGGATCTGATCGTAAAAAATCGGCCCGATAGTAAGGACTTCTTTAGCCAACGTATGACCCGTCTTTGAGTTTGTCAGGCACCGACAGCAACTTCATGAGCGTTATCAAAACCTGTAAAATGTCATATAGAAAAATTGTTTAGAATAAGTGGATCCATTTTTCCAGAGTGAGGGCATCTTCTGTGGGCTTTGTACTTGCTTCGGCTGTTAATAAACTGATCCTGATCGGGGTCATCTTGCACAAAATTCAAAAATCCACTTTCGATTGGATTTCTGGACAGTGTGACGCCTGCATCAACTTGTTTCAAGAAAGTTTATTGTTTGAAACATATTCCTTAGTAATCTGAACTGAATAAACCTGAATAAAATATTTTAAAACCTTGGCTTTTATTACATTACTTGCCTCCTTTTACTAGCCATCGGCTATGGTATATTTTCTGTTGAAAAGCGTTCTGTGTGCACGTTATTAATCCTTCAATTGACCATTTCATGAGAAAAAAGTAGGATCGGAACCCAGTTCGTTTTATTATCCAACAAATATCTCATTGCAGATCGATAATTTATATTAGATTATAGCTTAGTGACGACTTTAAGACTATTTACAACCTACAGACCAAGTGAAGGATGCAAACTATTTGAGTATTGGGGTAACCATTGACACTGTTCTTGTTATAATGGTCATGAAAGGCGGTCCATTCCGCTGAAGTTGAGTCAGTAGTCGCCTAAACTATGGAGATGATTCAACAATCCAGCTTTTATACTACTTTGGAGGGTAAGTAGGTGTATTGATCTTCAACACATAAATCGGCTTCCAACCTATCATACTTATTCCTCTCACAAATTTAATGACTACCATTCATTGTCACCCGTTTCAATTATAATTCATTGAGTAATAGAGTAAAATGTTCGAATGTATCTTAATATTCCGTATACGAGCTACGTTGGAAATTGAAATATTTAATACTCTTACTAAAATAGAATCACTTATGATGTCGTAATAATGATGAATTAGAGATCAGGCAAATTCAAACAACCTCATTGTCAACTCAGAGACGTGAAAATTACTGTCAAGCTCCTTTGTGAAAGCAGGTTGGAATTGCCGCTGATCAAGCGAAAAAAACATTATTTCGTTCAATTGAAATACTGCAAAGGATATGCTTATCTGAAAACTGCTATTTTTAAAATGCTTCCAAAACAAATTCTAAATTACTGTCATTGCTCCATGCAATTTTGAAATTTCATCAAATCTATATGAATGTGTTATGTGAGGGCCCATGTGCCAGGCACAAGTCGTAAATAGAGATCAATTCCAATGCTAAGTGATATGAAGAAACGAAAATGAATGACAGAATTTTACTTCCTTGTCATCTGTCAAACTAGTATATTTTGAAATATGTCTTATCATAGTCTTATATCAGAATTAAAACTTAATATTATGATGGAAAAACTTAACAAAATCAGACAGTTTTTTGAAGTTATCACCAAATGAAGTTTATAAAACTGGAATTACTCCCTGTATTGACATTAATGTATGAAAAAAACTAAAATTCACCGCGCAATATTACAATAACATTACATATTATTTTACCGTTGGGAGACTGGGGTGGTCATAATTCTTGATTTAATCTATATTATCTTATGACTTTTCATTTCAGGTCTAAGATTCAAAAAAACCTTCTTTGCTTTACTTCGTATTAAAAATTTTGTCTTTTCTATTGCACAACCTGAATATTAATGAATCGGCGATCCTACTCTAATCGCTAATTTCCCTTTTCCGCCTTAGGATAAACAACCTCGATTTAACATGGCAGCCCATGGCCAGCGATGAATAATATAATATAAAGGGTTTACTACAATGACAGTTGCTAATTTATTATTTTGAACGTTGTCGAAGGCAGTCTGACGATTGTGAATTTATTAAATCCTTTGAATAAGATCCTTTTCCATAGACCGACGTTGTTTATCCAAAGGCGGACGTAGGCAATTAACATGTTGCGCACGCGCACGTATAGTTCCGAAATGGCTAATATTCTGCACATTGTTGTCAGTTATCCTTTTCTTGTTTAGCTAATTTCACGAGTGACTAAGTCTGAGGAAATGTTTGCATACTGAAATTGAAAATTATTATACAATATCGATTTCTCAGAATAAGATCAAGGTTCTATTAGCTGTCAGAGGGGATACAATGATTCAATTGAAGTTATGTCTAGCCTGTATGAATTTTTGTTAGATCAGATAGATCAAAACGTTCGTTATTGATGCATGAATCTAACTCTTCTTGACAGTTGCTTTTTGGAATTGTGCCGAATTCCTAGAGTTGTATATGTTGGTTAATTTGATAGACATTTAGTAACAAGATAAAAGTTATGTTCCATTCAGATATATTGAACCAGTTTTTCTATACTATCAAAGTGATGATCTTAAAGTGACATGTTTAAGATACAAATTAATCATTTTAGCAAGTCTTTTTTTGAGACACATCGCAATCGTCAAGAAGAAACATTTAATGTGATCTGATCAGAGGTATCTCATTTTTGCGTCAAAGCAAGGCTGCCAATGGTCTCATTTTTGTTTTTTTAAATCCATAAAAACTTGTCTAACTGCAACGTATTGTTAAAGCTGTAAAAATTGTTTCGGATATCTAAAGCCATTTCAGAAATTAACTGAACACATGTAGTTTGACAGTGGCGACGCCAGCCTGCCGAGACTGGGGGTACAAATAGGGAGCAGTGTGACAAAATATGGGAATAACAGTTGCTGTCGGTGCCGAAATTCAAAATGCGACACTCTGTGGAGACGTCATAGGGCGCCTGAAAGGGTTGAAAATTTTCGGAAAAAAGGAGTTATTAGGTGCATTCTGGCACATATTTAGGGGCAAAATCGTCTATAAATCTCTTTTTAATTTGTTGAAAATAAAGTGAGAGTATATTTGGGGGTGCAAACCATATTTCTAAGGGGGAAATGACCCCCAAACCCCCCCTGTAACCCTTCATGCTTTCATTAGGTAATAAATATGCAATTTCTTAGAATTCATAGATTTCCTTTACCTGAGGTTTTATGTTTCAATTTCGAAAGAAAGATTCTTTATTGACATTTTTGTACTAGCGTTCATAAAACTTTGTTATCAATGGATAAAAGACGAATTGAGTCCATAAAACTCATGAATTTGAATATCATAATGACATATTAAATAATGGAGATACGATTTATAAATGTTTATATGATATTAACAACGACTGTGGACGAGTCGATTGTTCTAATAGCCAACAATTACGTTGGTTAAAGAGTTGATTTTCTATTGGGATTATAATAAAAGATTTGATGGCGTGTCTAATTAGAAAAATATCAGGTCAATTCTCAGTTGATATCTCAGAAATAATGCTGACATAATACACATTGTATAAATACACTGGATGCATCTCGAGTAATCCGTCACACTTCTCCCGATATTTCTAATGAAACAAAAAGGCATTTTTTTTTCTCCAAATATTAAAGAATATTAAACACATGAGTCTCCTGCTAAATGTTTTCTAAGACTAGATGTTCTTGCGAGGTCAACCCTCCAAAGTGGATTTAAGGACGACTTCACCCCTATCTTTAAGTAAACGAGAGAGGCCCCAGAATCCGGCGATGCTCCGTATTAGTTACCTAGACTCATATTTCAATTTGTCTTTGTCGTTTATTGAAATATAGCCTAAGCATAACTATTTTTAACCTGAACTTAATGCAGTTCTGAAATTAGTGGACCACAGACCAAATGGAATGAACTGGTGTCTTACGTTGTACCCTTTCTGAACCTGACTGGCAATAACTTGAAGCCGAAATAAGATGTCCAATAAATGTCACATTATCATGATTGTTTTTACTAGACTTCTGTAATCCGTTCATAACAAGGCGTCTGGGAATAATTTGCTGCATCTAAGTAACTCAACATCCAGACTCAAGACTCGTTATACATAATTACCTTCTTCGTTACTTACCTTAAAAAAATGTCCCGGATCGCACTTGCCAATATATATGTATTATTACTATTATCTAAGCCTGTACATTTGAAAGAACCAAACCCTCCCTTCTCCGAAAACCACTATGCAGTTGTCCGATTGAAATTTTTTTTTTCTTGTCTCTTGACGAATATCTATTAGCGACAGTAGAATAAAAGCTACTATTGAATATCCAAATTGTATAGTCTGCGATATTGACTTCTGCTGGAAGAGGGTGTAAACTGTTATGTGCCATCTACTACCACCACCACATATCTTTAAAACATTACATTCAAAGAGATTGGTCCTTGATTCAGTGAGTAAAACGAATGGCTCATATCGATAGGTTTTAAAGCAGGACCGAAGAAAACCTTATCCAAGCGGAAAACTAAATTCAAGGCTTATGAAAAATTGTTTTATTAGTGCCTAACCACTGATGTCTTCTGAACTCCGACTTTTTTCTATTTCTAAAATTGACAATTTATTTGAAGGTGATTCAATCGAACGTGTTGCTTGACCGCAATATTTTACCGTCCACATTTGATTTAATTTCCCATTAAGGTACTACTAGGTTGTCAATACATATCAAAATTACGAGAGATTTGAGTAATTGCTGGTGATATATCCACATCGACTGAAGTATTTAAGGTCGATAGTTATTAGGAACTACCGTAAAAACTTGGGGATCTTAAGTTGTTTAAATTCAATACGATGTTATATTTATTGCTTGGTAGATTGAATATAAGTAATCAAATTTGTATTGCAGTACCATAGAAGCTATCATAACAGAACAGAACATACCGCTATTTTAACGATAATGCTGGTGACTTTTTGTGACTGTACAAATGGTAGCACAAATATACCACGCACAAATACACCGCGCAACCGTTTCTACAAATA